GCTTGTCCAGAATCCTCACAGCAGGACTTACAGGGGTCACGTGCTTGTCCAGAAACCTCTCAGCAGGACTTACAGGGGACACGTGCTTGTCCAGAATCCTCACAGCAGGACTTTACAGGGACTTACACACGTGCTGTGTCCAGGAAACTTCCTCACAGCAGGACTTACAGGGGACACGTGCTTGTCCAGAATCCTCACAGCAGGACTTACAGGGGACACGTGCTTGTCCAGAATCCTCACAGCAGGACTTACAGGGGACACGTGCTTGTCCGGAATCCTCACAGCAGGACTTACAGGGGACACGTGCTTGTCCAGATCCACACAGCAGGACTTACAGGGGACACGTGCTTGTCCGGAATCCTCACAGCAGGACTTGTACAGGGGACACGTGCTTGTCCAGAATCCTCACAGCAGGACTTACAGGGGACACGTGCTTGTCCAGAATCCAGCAGGACTTACAGCAGGATCCTCTTACAGCAGGGGACACGTGCTTGTCCAGAATCCTCACAGCAGGACTTACAGGGGACACGTGCTTGTCCAGAAACCTCACAGCAGGACTTACAGGGGACACGTGTGCTTGTCCGGAATCCTCACAGCAGGACTTACAGGGGTCACGTGCTTGTCCAGAAACCTCTCAGCAGGACTTACAGGGGACGTGCTTGTCCAGCTTGTCAGGGGACAGAATCCTCACAGCAGGACTTACAGGGGACACGTGCTTGTCCGGAATCCTCACAGCAGGACTTACAGGGGACACGTGCTTGTCCAGAATCCTCACAGCAGGACTTACAGGGGACACGTGCTTGTCCAGAAACCTCACAGCAGGACTTACAGGGGACACGTGCTTGTCCAGAATCCTCACAGCAGGACTTACAGGGGACACGTGCTTGTCCAGAATCCTCCTCACAGCAGGACTTACAGGGGACACGTGCTTGTCCGGAATCCTCTCAGCAGGACTTACAGGGGTCACGTGCTTGTCCAGAAACCTCTCAGCAGGACTTACAGGGGACACGTGCTTGTCCGGAATCCTCACAGCAGGACTTACAGGGGACACGTGCTTGTCCAGATCCACACAGCAGGACTTACAGGGGACACGTGCTTGTCCGGAATCCTCACAGCAGGACTTACAGGGGACACGTGCTTGTCCAGAATCCTCACAGCAGGACTTACAGGGGACACATGCTTGTCCAGATCCACACAGCAGGACTTACAGGGGACACGTGCTTGTCCGGAATCCTCACAGCAGGACTTACAGGGGACACGTGCTTGTCCAGAATCCTCACAGCAGGACTTACAGGGGACACGTGCTTGTCCAGAAACCTCTCAGCAGGACTTACAGGGGACACGTGCTTGTCCAGAATCCTCACAGCAGGACTTACAGGGGACACGTGCTTGTCCAGAATCCTCACAGCAGGACTTACAGGGGACACATGCTTGTCCAGAATCCTCACAGCAGGACTTACAGGGGACACGTGCTTGTCCAGAATCCTCTCAGCAGGACTTACAGGGGACACGTGCTTGTCCAGAATCCTCTCAGCAGGACTTACAGAGGACACGTGCTTGTCCAGAATCCTCACAGCAGGACTTACAGGGGACACGTGCTTGTCCAGAATCCTCTCAGCAGGACTTACAGGGGACACGTGCTTGTCCAGAATCCTCTCAGCAGGACTTACAGGGGACACGTGGGGACCGTGCTTGTCCAGAATCCTCACAGCAGGACTTACAGGGGACGTGCGTGCTTGTCCTCTCAGCAGGACTTACAGAATCCTCACAGCAGGACTTACAGAGGACACGTGCTTGTCCAGAATCCTCACAGCAGGACTTACAGGGGACACGTGCTTGTCCAGAATCCTCTCAGCAGGACTTACAGAGGACACGTGCTTGTCACGGAATCCTCACAGTAGAACCTACAGTGGCCCGTGCTTGCATGGAATCCTCATCCTCAGCAGGACTTACAGGGGACAGGCAGGGTTTTACATAGCTCTTTGAAACTGAGTCTTGGGATCTCAGGGCATATTTTTTGAGAGTCCATTTCCAATTTGCATGAAATCAATGATCATGCATGCTTCCAATTTGATGATGATGTTATAATATGTGTTACCTTCAATGTCATAAGCATAATGATTGTAAACAGAATGTTTACATTTTAATATGGGATATCATTACAAACTCAGAAAGTTCTTTCCCAGAAGAAAATTCTATTGCGTCCACAAGGACGCACAGGATTTTAGTTTGGGGTACTTCTTCACATTTCTGCGTCCAATATACAGGAATCACGTGTCCCGTAAAGCCCTGCCTACAGGGGACCTGTTCTTGTCCGGAATCCTCACGGCTGGACCTACAGGGGACCCATGCTTGCACAGAATACTCACAGCAGGACCTACAGGGGACCCGTGCATGCATGAAATCCTCACGGCAGGACCTACAGAGGACCCATGCTTGCACGAAACCTCACGGCAGGACCTACAGGGGACCTGTGCTTGCACAAAATCCTCATGGCAGGACCTACAGGGGACCCGGCTTGCATGGCTTGCAGGACCCAAAGGAAACCCTGCATGCATGAAATCCTGGCAGGACCTACAGGGGACCCATGTTGCATCGAAACCTCACGGCAGGACCTACAGGTGACCCGTGTGCTTGCACAAAAATCCTCACAGCAGGACCCACAGGGGACCCGTGCTTGCAATACTCACAGCAGGGACCCACAGGGGACCACGTTGCTTACAGAATCCTCACAGCAGGACCCACAGGGGACCCGTGCAAGGAATCCTCATGGAAATCCTCAGGGGACATGGCAGGACCTCACATGGGACCCGTGCTTGCACACAGAATCCTCATGGCAGGACCCACAGGGGACCCTGTGCTTGCAAGGAATCCTCACAGCAGGACCCACTGGGGACCCGTGCTTGCAAAGGAATACTCACAACAGGACCTCACAGGGGACCCACCCGTGCTTGCAAGGAATCCTCACAGCAGGACCCACATGGGACCCGTGCTTGCAAGGGACCCGAATCCTCACAGCAGGACCCACACAGGGGACCCATGCTCCTCACAGCAGGAAGGAATACTCACAGCAGGACCCACATGGGACCCGTGCTTGCAAGGAATCCTCACAGCAGGACCCACAGGGGACCCGTGCTTGCAAGGAATACTCACAGCAGGACCCACATGGGACCCGTGCTTGCAGGAATCCTCACAGCAGGACCTCCACAGGGGACCCGTGCTTGCAAGGAATCCTCATGGCAGGACCTACAGGGGACCCATGCTTGCAAGGAATACTCACAGCAGGACGTACAGGGGACCCGTGCTTGCAAGGAATCCTCACAGCAGGACCCACAGGGGACCCGTGCTTGCAAGGAATCCTCACAGCAGGACCCACAGGGGACCCATGCTTGCAAGGAATACTCACAGCAGGACCCACAGGGGACCCATGCTTGCAAGGAATCCTCACGGCAGGACCTACGGGGACCCGTGCTTGCATGGAATCCTCACAGCAGGACCCACAGGGGACCCGTGCTTGCAAGAAATCCTCACGGCAGGACCTACCGGGGACCCGTGCTTGCAAGAAATCCTCACGGCAGGACCTACAGGGGACCTGACAAGATTTGACCTCAAACATGACTGTCCAGTTAACATGACTGAAGGCTTATAAATACAACACTAACTCTGAAATATTTCACTTGCAATTGAGTCTTGAATGATCTAGAAGACTCATAGAAATGATGTTCAGTTGTTGTTTAAGGCCACTCTGGGCAATATTACTGGTATATGACCTCATTCTGTAAATGAGATTTTTGGCCGGACAATCCAGTGATGACGAGGATATGAGGACATGCATAAGCCAGTCAGGAAGTCATAACAGGGATCAGTAGGTGATGGTTTCATGCATGGGTTGCTGGAGACCAATTCTCACTAGTATCATGATGTATTTCTAAGCTGTTGAAGATTAGATATATCAATGGTCCCTATCTTAATAGTGTGTTATCACTGTGTGCTTATTTTCAGAATCAGTTGAATATGATGATGAAGGAGCGAGGTGGCTTTAGAGCAACTTTGACCTGAACTTCAGTAATCTCCTAGGGTATCAGCTTGATGTATCTGAACCAAAGTCACGTGTGAGTCTGTAAAACCTAGGATTATAATATGGGATTTGAAAACACATTCCTGTGCACATCCTCGATAATCTCCAGGGTATATGTTAAGATAAATCTCCGCAGTACCCTGGACGCATGTATGGCTTGGCCTGATAATTTTGTTACCTCCCTTTGCTGGCTCTGCATTCTCACAGTAGCCTATCAGCTATAACGTTGTAATTACAATTAACTGAGCTTGTAAGTGTCAACAAAGATAGCGGTCGCAGCCGTGAAGGTTTGTTCGCAGTGCGACTCAGATTTGGGGGGAAATCATACCGACAAATTGACAGGTCTGAAACCTTAAATATATATGCAAGAACTCTTTCTACCTCTTTCCAGGGATGGCAATTTTCCGCTGATCTGCGGATTTTATTTCAAATTGTTCAATTGTGAATCGTCTAAACCCATTGAGAAACCCTCAATTGATGACACAACATTAAGTTTTCCGCTGAAAATAGATTTTCCTGTTGCCATCCCTGTCTTTCAGAGTACCTCTGCAACAATTATGTTGCCAAATTTAATCAGTGAGATAAAAGAAGCGAAAATGAGTTGTGATTGGTACGCTCAACTTCCCAGCGTAGACACCTGATTGGATAAAAAGCCAGCCAAGGGAGGTAATAAAATCATGGGGCCAAGCCGTAGATGCATCAAGGGTTTAGTGGCGATTTTATCAGAACGTATACCCTGCAGATTATCCAGGATGAACTATGCATGACCTGATGCTGTGAACACTATTTCAGTTTGATCAAAGTCACTTCTTTTACAGGTCATGTTGTCAGTGAAACACAGACCCCTTTTCAAAACCATTACAATTAAGTCAAACTCAGTAACATGAATTGGCTAATTTTCAGTAACACAAGAACCAGACAATGACAAGATCACCAAGTTTACTGCAGAATGACACTTGATAATTACAATGTGGCAGAACAGTGATGAGGCTGGTAAAATCTTTATCATCCTCAGATTCACATGATTCACAGTAATGAGGGCACCAACCCCTCCCTGGAATATTGAATAGTATATTCCTCTGAAACCCCTGGAATCCAGAATACCTCTGTACACAACTACCAAAACCATTGAGAAAACACTGTGATCGAATTTTTGTACAAATGAATTTTTAATTTCTTTTTAAATAATTCTTATTTGTGTCCCACATATAACACTGCTGAGTCATGAATACCCTTTAAATACACCCCTGAATCCTTGGCACCAAAAGGGGGTTGGCAGTCTCAATAATTTCTTCATCTGGTTCAGAGCACAGGTCTTGGAACCTCCATGGAAATTCTATAAAACTTCTTATGACTACATCCATCTGTACTGTCACTCATCTCACACTTCTGTACAATATGCTGATAACATTGAATGACTCGTTACATATCAGGATGCCCCTGCCTGAAGGTTCAGTATTTTCTTCACAGAGTTCTTATATTTAGTAAGGGATTCAGAGTTCTCTCCCTTGTTCATGATCTCTGATACTGATCTGCTGTACTCCTTCACAAGGTCAAGGGTAACAATGTCTTCCTCCTTCAGACTGCTGGGCAGGTGGGACAGTTCCTTGAATGAAGGGTCATCTTTCTTGCTCTGAAAATATATTGCAATGTGTTCAGACAACAGGTCAGTCTTAAGACCACATTTAAATTAAATTCACTTGTATGTCACACCACAATTCACTGTTTGAAATTTGTAAAACTGCATAAGATTTCTTCTGGAAGGCTAAAAGATAATGAAAATTTTGACTTTAAAATATTTTTAAAGAGAACTGTTCCGTACATCCATTTCTAGCACCATCAACACATGGCCTCCATACAAGGTCATGATGATTTGTAAAGGTATCAATAGGATATAATGAGCTGAGGGTTTAGGGTGCACAAGTCTATACAGCTTGTCAGTGTGTGAGTTTAAGGCTGCATCAAACAGTATTCCATTATATCCTGGCATGTCAGATTAATGAGGGTCGGAAGATCAATATGATGTAGGTCTCAAACGTTTACCACTATGTTGAAATGCATGAGTGAGTGAGTGAGCTGAGTTTTACGCCGCACTCAGCAATATTCCAGGTATATGGCGGTGGGTCTGTAAAAATAATTGAGTCTGGACCAGACAATCCAGTGAGCAACAGCATGAGCACTGATCTACACAATTGAGAACCGATGAGATGTGTCAACCAAGCCAGCGAGCCTGACCACCCCATCCCGTTAGTCGCCTCTTACAACAAGCATGGGTTACGAAGATTCCTTGTAACCCGGACCTTCATGGGTTGAAATGCATTAACACAGGTATGGTGCTAACAAACCAAGAAACATCACTGAACAAGAATTGAACCCACGATCATAAGCTTCTGGCATGCTCAAGGGACCTAACTTTAAATTAACACACCAACTTGTGGTGCCATAGATGACTTGGCCACCCATGCCTCCCACCTAACTTCACATTCCGGTATATAACAATGTAAGACTCCAGTGACATATTTTTAGTATGTAGAATGTGGTGAAATATTTTTTAATATACTTTGAACTCATTTTGAAAATAGAATAAAAATATCTGCTCAGTCAAAAGGTTCACAAACATCCATGTTCATCATAACTAGGTATTTGTGTTGATGTTGATCATCTTGAGTGGGGGCGGTGGGGTAGTCTAGTGGTTAAAGTGTTGGCTCGTCACGCCGAAGACCCAGGTTTCAATCCCCACATGGGTACAATGAGTGAAGCCCATTTCTGGTGTCCCCCGCCGTGATATTGCTGGAATATTGCTAAAAGCGGCGTAAAACCAAACTCAGTCAGTCAGTCAGTCTTGAGCTAGTGCAATATATATGATTTGTGATGTTGCTGCCAGAGTCTTTGGAAGCAATACATCATCATGCTTCATCTGGAACAAGGGAATGATGTTTAACAATGAAGCAATAGTCTAGCTCCAACATCAAATCCTGTAAAATATCAAGTGAAAATCATCCTTATAGTCAGGGTACACAATAAGTCCCATACATATTGCAAGCATGGGACACTGTTGTCATGGCGATATTTCACGGGGTAATTTCCTACACAGTAAATTCCTTCCCACTGCTTCTCTATAGGCTCAGTGACCTCCATGGTATCAACAAAGACTCACGGAGCCACAAGGTCACACAGTATCTTGACCAGGCAACAACACTTAACAAAGACAAGAAGAGTAGAGAAGCAGTTACATTCCCTACCTCTTTGATGTCCTGGAACTTCTTAAACAGGTCGATGACTGACTGGCGTGACTGACTAAGATGCCATGTATAGAAGAGACGGTCAGCCTCTGTCATCTCATCTTCCCATGGCTCCTTTTTCTGTGGGCATGTAAAAAGTTGGATCAATTCACAGATGTTGGGGTCAATGTAAAAGTTGGAATAACTGACAAATCTAGGGAGCACAGATAAAAATGAAAACATATAACTCACAAGGCGATGGCGATAACATCTTTGTTACAAGATGTATCATTCTTGTGCGTTATAAATGACTCCACATGAGCATTGATTCTATAACTAACGATATGAAGGATATAGCCATGGCGTAGATATGCAGTGGGTTTTTCAATCTATTCACTCAAGCAAGAAAACATTGTCTGAGAAACTGTTATTGTATCAGTAAATTTATTTTCTACTTCTATGACAGATAAACAGCCTGGAGTTCACTGGTATAAATAACATACTAACGTACTTACATATGTAAACAGACATCAATTATTACTTGAACCCAGTTATTTTAAACTGCCAACAAGTTATTCTCAGTCTGGTTTTGTGATACAACAATAAGGCAAGGCAGAGTTACTTCCCTTGGAACAGGTTTAACTGAACAACAATGTAGTCTACCTATCCAAGGTTGATACTGACATCTTTAGCCCCATCAGTATTAATACAGAAATAATATCCACAAGAATCGTTCATGTGTGAAAGTCTTAATGTAAAAATTATGTTGAAAATCAAATCAATGATTATGATGTTTCTGGGATATTTCCGGACAGTTTAATGGAAATAGAATGATTTTGGTTTGATTTGAAACCTAAATGAGAAAAATTAAGCTTGGATTAACATTTCTATAAACAGTATTGAAGTTATACCACAGCATGGGACCTAAACATGGGAGGAAAGCCCTCCATGTTGCATGTCTCAGATGTTTACCAACATGGAGAAACCAACGAGCACACAAACATAGAAACGTGTGCGAACTGGGATTTCAACCTGGAAATGATCATTCTTATGTATTTATCAGTGGACAAGTGGAAAGACACGATATGTCCTGTGGAAGCCAGTATCTGCATTCAAATCCTGTTCCTATTAAACAGAGGAGCCAGTGGGGCTAACAATGGTAAACAGTGTTTCATTCGTACTGCAACATGTCAGCTTGTTCCACGAACATCCACATTTACATTTGTTGTTGATGTTTACCACTCTTGAGAAGCCAACAAGCATAGTAATGGTGCTGGCAACTAGAAGAACCATCTGGGTCAAGCACTCAGACATCAAAATACCAGACATGGGAGTGAGTGAGTTTGGTATAACACCAAATCTAGTTGTATCACAGCACATCAGCTCAATATGGGAGAAAGACCTGAGAAATGCTGAGTTAAGATCTCAGAAGTCAACCCTTTTAGTGAAATCCACCAACACAAGTATGGTGCTGACAAACCTGAAAACACAACGGTAATCTGGGACTCAAGTGGTCAATCACTGAAAGAACCACAGCTCTGTGCACTGTGTCGTTGTGCCTTAGATGATGGGGATGGGAGGGTAGGAAAAAATGGAATCGAGTACCCGCATGTACTTACCCGAATCGGAATCAAGTAACCGGAAATGTAAGGAATACAGTGCTTCTGTCAACTGTCTGAATATTCAATCACGATTTGACAAAGATTATTATAGAAAACGTATACGGGTGGCAATAAGAAATTAAAAATGATCTCAAGCTATATAATTTACGTCTGTTTAACCAATATAAAGAGTAACACCATTACTTAGATTGCTCGTTAAAATAAACTTTTCGTTCCTACTGCTACTGATACTGCTAACATGATTACTCACTGCTCACTCGCAGATAAATTACAGTCGTTAAAAATAACCTCCATTAATCGGACAATACCAATGATGTAAATGTGTGTTATGTCAATAATGAAAAAGACAAGTTATTATACAGAGTTCTCTCCCTTTCCGGGTACTCCATTCCTAGAAATTGGACTCGATTCCAGCTGTACCCGACCTGGATTCGAGTACCCGTCCCAGCCCTAGACCCAACATAAGTGGGAAGTTCTGTGTACCTTACTCACTCACTCAGTAGTTTTATGCCAGATACAGCAATACTGCAGGTATATCACAGCAGTCTGTATATAATCAAGTTTGAACCAGACAATCCAGTGTCTGACGGTGGACACCTACCCAGGACTCGAAGTAAATAGCTGTCACCAGGTACATGGCGTAGTCGTAGTTCTGCTGCCTCACTGGACACCTGCAACATTCATTAAAAGAGATCAAATGTTTCCATACTGTTTCAGAGGAAAGGGTAATTAATCATGAGAAGTGTAATGTCATGTAGAAGGTTTGGTGGCATGCGGTGGAAGGTGAGGTGAGCTGAAATTGGGTTTAACGTTGTGCTTGAGAATATTTCGCACATATGAGCACATGCATGTATGTGTATGTGCGGCTGCTTGTACTAGCCCAGACTTAAGCTGGTTTTATAGTGCTAGCCCACTGAGATACTATGCCGCAGTGAAGCATGAATACCCCACTCAGACACATTATACTGACTCCGAGCCGACCAGTCCTTGTTGTACCCATTAATGCCGAGAGCCAGGCAGGGACCAACAAGTACCATATTTTACCGTCTTTTGGTATGACGTTGTCGGGGATCGAACCAGCGACCTTCCGTTCTCTGGGCGGACGCTCTAACCACTACACCACGGAGGCGGTCTTCGTGGAAGGGGGATGCACTGTGAAGACTGGTTGTAATTAAAGGAATGTTGAGTGGGTGTGCTGTGGAGTGGTTTTGAGGTTGCAGGCGGAGTAATTATCAGTTTGTGCTTGTGCTTGGGGTGAGTGGTTGGGGTGAGTGGTTGGGATGTGGTCAGTGTCCTGTAAGTCTGGTGCTCTCTCACCTGTCAGTGGTAATGGTCAGTTTTTTGGTCTTGGGATTGAACCTGTTTCCGACCAGTCTCAACAGCTTCTGCTGTGCGTGTTTGTCCAACTTCAAATGAGACAGCTTCAGCTGAAAATGGTATTGATTGATCACGACAGTGTCATATGGTTCCTTATGTAAATGATATAATGTTTCTTTGTGTAAGTTTGAGAAATGCATCCACAGCCCAGTAACCAGTGGCTGTTAGTATAAGAATCAATCAACACTGACTCGCATCAGTTTGAAGCAAATAGCAGGTCATAGCTCACAGCTCATCCGTCTTAACTGCCCAGCTAAGTCTAATTCAAGTTGTTCAAGTCACGGCAATTTCCTTTGAAGAACTGAATTCCATAAGACTGCCAGAAACCTATGATCATGGGTTCAGATCACCATCTCAGTTGAAATTCATCAAAGTGTACTCATGTGTTTAAGTGAAGTTATAAACATGTTGCTTAACACAGCACTCAGTAATACTCCAGCTATATGGCGGCGGACTGTAAATAATCGAGTTTGGACCAGACAATCGAGTGACCAACAGTATTAGCATCAATCTATGCTACTGGGATACGATAAGTCAGTGAGCCTGACCGCCCGCTTTTTGTTTCAGAATGTATCAAACTGTCTTTGGCCCCTTAGATTCATTTCGATACACCTTGTAAAAACTGGTAAGTGACACCAATTCTTGCAGTAATCACTTTATAAACCTGTGAAGATCGGGGTTAGAATAGGTCTTCAGCCACCCATTCTTGTCACATGTGGTAACTCGGGTGGTCAGGCTCGCTGACATGGTTGACACATGTCAATTATCAATCCCAATTGTGTAGATCGAAGGTCATACTGCTGATCACTGGATTGTCTGGTCCAGATTCAATAATTTACAGACTGCAAACCATATAGCTGGAATATTGCTGAGTGGTACATTAAACAACAAACAAACAATTTCTTTATAACCACATACAGCTGTAATATCACAGTGCAAGTAAAGCATGTCTATAAACATGGTTGAAGTCAAGAAAATCTGTGCCATTGTGTGGGCAGCTCAACTTACTTCTACAGTGACAGCGCGAGCCCGGGGATCTCGGATTGATGTGCTGGAGAAACTGTAGTCAGATGTTGTTACTGTTATTGGGAAGTGCTTATTGATTTCTTTATTTGTATTCAATCCCTCTGGCCACTTTGTACAAAATTCTGAAAAGGAAAAATGGAGACAAGGTTCTTGAAATGAATGAGTGTGTGAAGTTATATATGTCCACCACTTTGGTAAAGCCCATGAACACAAGTATTGAGCTGACAAAATTAGGATCATAATCACATAAATATACGATTCCCATCCACCATCACTTGATGCTTGCCTAAGATCCTTGCCTAACTAAGGGACATAACTCTGCAGAGAGCCTAGGATGCATGGCCATTGTTGAATCTTAAATCTGAAAAGCATGAATTTGGTTTATTACTTGTTTGTTTAGTTGAGTGAGTGACATCTGAGTGAGTTAAAATTTAATATGTAACATCACCTCTGCAATATTTCAGCCATATAGTGACGCGTGACATCTGAAGATGAGTTGCTTGTCACAGTCAGTGGTCTTGGGTTCAAACCTAAAATACCGATACAATCCTTTGTCCATCAGCGCCGAGCCTATGCTTATGGGATTCACTAAATTGGACTACATTTTAGCTTTGCTCCCATATCAAGCTTTCGCAAGGAATCATGTGATTGGCGTGTTGTTAAAACCCTTTAACTTTCTTTTATATTTCAAACACTTTTGAGCATAATTACTTGCCATTTTATTCAGAGGACTTACTCTTGATGGCCTGGCAGTGTTTCTTGATGTGAGCTGGCGTGAGATGTAGGAAGTTGGGTGGTTTCATCAGCTCAATATTTCCATACTTTGCTGGGGACACGCCCTTATTCTCTGTCTCTTTCTATGAACCCAAACAAACATCATCATTACGATTGCATGGAGTCACTAGCTGAATGAATCTCCAGCACATGACATATGAGCCCAACTAAAAGGCTGTAGCAGTTCACTTGATGCACTTCAACACTATTCTCACTGATACGCTGTGATACTAATCTCAAAATTGCATTGAGGTACTTATGTAAACAATGCATGAAATGCTGCACACAAAACTATATGATCCTGGTTTTTCTTTCAACCCTGTCTAGAGTCCTGGGCCCTTATTCTCGAAACGTTCGTAGCCCTAAGAATTCTTAACTTTTATCGTAGCCAATGTGTTGAGAATGGGCTTAAGAAGTTCATAGGGCTACGAACGTTTCGAGAATAGCTAGCCTGATCCAGAACCATTCATTTCATGTTTTTCCAGCTACATCGTTGCCTTCCCTTGTTTCACCTAAATTTTCCTTACAACAGGTAAAATGGTCATTATATCTGTGTGGTGATGGGGACCAAGTAGCAAAGTAATTTCAACAAGATTGCACCCTGAAAATATTACAACCTTCTGGACTTATTATTTTCAGTTACCTTAAAATAGCATTGATACTGCTGACTGTGACATTAAACAACATTAACTCAATATGACTTTGAATATTACTCGACCCACAGTCTGAAAGCTAGCAGTACCTACCTCTGCAAAACCCTGTCTCATAGGCAAAGGGACAACACTCCACTTGAAGGAGGCAGCTGAAGGCCACACACTAGTCCAGTCCTGGTCATGCTTCATCTGCATATACCGCGGTGGGGCTACCTGGAAAACATGAAAAACTTGTAACACTACTCACTATTAGTATTAACATTTTATTGCTGAAAACAACAAGCTAAATCATACATACCGGTCTCCTCCTCCTCCGGAAGAATTCTCGTTCCCTGTTTATAGGTTTAAGGCCAGGTATTTCAAATGTTCTGAATTCACTGTCACCTGACAAAAATAAAGACGAAAGTATATATAAGAAACTTTAGAATTCATCAGTTATTTTTTTTTATGCTAATGTTCACTGTTTTCATTCCATTTCCCTTGCAGTATTTTAGAGAGATCAGCATTGTCAAGTATAGAGTTGGAAATAGCTGCCTGTCTGTAGGCTCATCTCTTGTTAGTCCAGCAATGACTGAGTGAGTTTAGTTTTACGCCGCACTCAGCAATATTCCAGCTATATGGCGGCGGTCTGTAAATAATTGAGTCTGCACCAGACAATCCAGTGATCAACAGCATGAGCATCGAACTACGCAATTGGGATACAATGACATGTGTCAACCAAGTCAGCGAGCCTGACCACCCAATCCTGTTAGTTGCCTCTTACGACAAGCATGGGTTACTGCAGATCAATATTCTAACCCGGATCTTCACAGGTCTGTTAGTCCAGCATATAACTAGAGTTCTTTGCACTATACCAAGGTCTGCTCGCCAACTCGATGTAGACCTTGGCTGGAATACAACTTGCAAGTTTATTTATATGAACTAATCTCTTGTACGTCGGGTAAGGAGTTTCACTTTTGCAGGGATTGGGAAAGGCAGGGGCCATGGGCCATTTTGCACATTAGAACAAAAAATGGCCCATTGAAAATTTTAAGTTTACTATTGATACAAGGACAGTGGCCCATTCTAAATTCAGAAAATGTCTAATAGTCCTGAAAATGGCCCATTGTCAAAGTACTCTATCCCAATCCCTGCTTTTGTATTGTCCAAGAAGGCACGTGGTAATTTACCTGTCGATTTATTTGGTGAGATGGATTATTTTTCTATACACAATAGATATTATCATATAACTTCATTTTTAATTCTTAAATTGAATTAATGCTATCTTTCCTGTATATTTTAAATAAACATATTTTTTATCATCATGACAACTCTAAAATCAAACCAGACTCAGGCATCGCAGGTTTCAAGTATTAGAATTGACATCGAGCCCCATTACTGCATGTGCATCTTATACATGAGATACTAGAGGACAAGTTGTGAAGGCAAAGCTAATGAAGGCTAAATCAAGATGCACGAAAACTGTGACATATCACACAAATCTTTGACGGAAGTTGTATGAATATGACTTAACACACCTTGTTCCGAATCATTTATTCGTCTGTTTCGATGACTACCGCGTGTGGAACTTGAAAGACTTCTTGCATAGCACGTGCAAGAAATACCATTTGTGAGTTTCATTGCGTACAAGCGTTGCATGGCACATCGCAAAGTTCTTGATTCCATGGCGGCCGCCATGTTGGATTCGAGAAACTATTTACCTAACGAATAATTCCACCGAAAGATGTGTCCTATGAAAATCGATACGAACACATTTATACCCTTCTTAACCCATAGGCTACATGCTAATCAGGTCCAATCAGTAATGAAATGATTATTTTAAGTAAAATTATGTTAATAATAATGTTTCAAAACTGCGCCAAAGACGATGGAAATTGTTAAACGAAGAAGTTTACTATCCACATGATGTCCCCATCCGAGAAATAAAAGCACTGTCTTAGCACTAAAAAGAGTCTTAAGTTTCCGGGGTATCAGTTCTGCTCAAGTGTTTGTGCAACGGAACACCAGCGGGTTCACAATACTCATGAGTGTGACTTAGATAAACAATGCATCGGTTCTCAATGGCATCCAACTTTCCAGGACTGGTGATTGGCACAGGCCTCATTCTTTCTGTATGCTCTGAACGTCATAATCACGTATAAGTCGCGTGTCTTTTAAACTTTGAAATATTCTAAACGATACATAATGATATGTCACATCACGTGAGTGAGTGAGTATGGTTTTCTTACGCCGCTTTTAGCAATATTCCAGCATTATCACGGCGGGGAACACCAGAAATGGGCTTCACACATTGTACCCATGTAGGGAATCGAACCCGGGCCTCCAGCTTGACGGGCGAACGCTTAGCCTACCCCACCGCCCCGTCACATCACGAAATATCGTTTTTCCCCAAAACATTGTTTTCTTTGGCAATCGACGAAAGAGGTTTGGCCCCAGTCATTCATACAAAACTTAAACAATCCGCTAACGTAAATATCACGATCGAGATCAGGCTAACAACAGACAGGTTTAGAATATACAGAGAACGAGTGCGTTGTGTTTACAATGCTTGAGGATAAATTATTTTCCAGAATTTTTGTGACAGAATGTGATTCAAACGACTCTCATCAGCTGAATCATAAGAAATGTAGACTTGCCAAAATAGTGCACGCTTGCTTCCATATTAAGGTGTGAAGCTGTGGAAGAAAATAGTGTGGACATTGTATTTAGTAAATTAGTATGAAAACGAGATTCCCTCTGTGCAATAAATAATACTAATAAATAATATTCGAGACAGATTATTTTTTTATTCAGTGTTTCAAATAATACATTTTTTCTCTTAAAAGAGGGGCTAAATCATTTTTTATTTTTTTTTATATACAACTCATTGTTTTCCATTCACCTAGCGTATTGTTTTGCGTCAAACATTTTTTCGGGAACAATTTTTTTCTTTTTCTTTTCAAAATTCCTTGGTTGTTGGGAGAGACAATTCCTCGTTACACCGTTGTCTTTCCTGGGGGCGGTGGGGTAGCCTAGTGGTTAAAGCGTTGGCTCGTCACGCCGAAGACCCGGGTTCGAATCCCCACATGGGTACAATGTGTGAAGCCCATTTCTGGTGTCCCCCGCCATGATGTTGCTGGAATATTGCTAAAAGCGGCGTAAAACCAAACTCAGTCAGTCAGTTGTCTTTCCTGACATCCCAATAGTGATCATCAGAATATCTTACGAGCACGTTTATATGACTGTGAATATACGGTTCAATTATACATTTCCATAAGTAGCCTATAGCAAACCTAAGTGGCCATAACCAGGACCTTTCAATGGCCTCTATTGGTGCGTGACGTTATCTTAATCGACCCCCACCAAAAGTCGTCGCCCTCATGCATGGATGAGTCGTCTCGATATCTCACCGAAGCGTGTCCGCTTGTCTGAAACAGATTAGCGTAGCATAAACACACAATACGCTTATTTACCCACTTAACGTCGTAATCGGTTGCAATTTCAAATTAGCACAGTGTAAACATCAATCAGACTCTCCAATCAAGCGTGTATGTACTCTGACGGCGCATGCGTTCCGGTCACCACGGTTCGGATGTTACGGAGAGGTGACAGACCACACCGTCAGTATCCCTTTTATCATGTGTTTTTTTATTGTTGTTTGTTTAGGTGTTTTAACTTTGTTTGATATTTCATTCATTCATTCATTCATCCACCCTAGTCTGTCATGCAGACCCTGAAACCAATAAAATATCCAAGAAAGCCCATGCAAGTCTAGAATATGTGGCAATTCTAGATTTCCACAGTTTCTGAAAAAGAAGAACGTCTCATGGCTCCTTTTCAGTGAAATTTTTTATTTTATTATGAACTGTTTTTTTTCTGTAAAATATGTTCATTTCAGAGACAAGTTGTTAGTCTCCATGCTTGTCGTAAAAGGGGACTAACGGGATCGGGTGGTCAGGTCGCTGACTTGGTTGACACATGTTATAGTATCCTAATTGACTAGATCGATGCTCATGCTGTTGATCACTGGATTGTCTGGTCCAGACTCAATTATTTACAGACCGCCGCCATATAGCTGGAATATTGCTGAGTGAGGCGAAAAAATAAACTAACTCACTCACTCACGCTTTCTCCATGGTGGTAAACATCTGAGACATGCAACATGGAGGATTTTCCTTCCATATCATACACTAGAAGGCTGAATACTTCCAATACATCTCTCTCTCTCCTATATATATATATATATAGCAGGCGCAGGCGGAATCTGAGATTTTGCTGTGGTTCACTGAGTAAGATCATTTTGTTATCTGGACAGTGTAAAAACACTCATGACACATCTTTTTTTATATTTGGGGGGTGGGGGGGGGGGTGGTGCTAAATATCCAGCTTTTACGTTTGTACTACAGCAGAGGCCAAACTATTTTAGTACGATATCGTAATGAATTATATTTTCTTCAGGTTTTGCACAGACATAAAAAAACACAGTAATGAGAATTAAACAATAACAAAAATCGTTATAATTATGACATCGTTTATATTTGAGTGGAATAGAAAATCTAACAACAACAAAAATCCAAAACAGAAACAAATATGAATTTTTATATATTTTTTTACCCTTTCCCTTTATTATCAAAACGAGTAAAATCTCTCCAGATCCATGTATAATTATAACAGATGTCCTTGAGCTTGTCATTAGTACTTAACCACGTGGTTGATCCGGATTAGAATTAACCAGGGACTTGGCTGACAGCACGTCATCGAACCTGAAGGCATCAATAGTCGTTCAAACTATCAATCACTTGATTGTCTGGTCCAGTCTAGATGCATTTATTTCCAGGCCGCTCTTATATTGGCTTGCAGTTGTTATATTGATGGATTACTGTCGTGTGTCGCGTGGAACAAGGAAACAATCATTCATAGCAGTAAATCTTTCGTGAATACAAAAACACGGTTATAATACTTTGTTTTGCTAAAATGACGCATTTAAATTTGCAATTATCTTTAGCAAAGCGTTGTGTTAAATTTGCTTTTCCAAACAGCACGTGGAAAATGGCTAACCTCTCCTCGAATCTATTTCAGATATCATAACTCTGCAATTGTGTGCCATGTGCAAATACCATTCATCATTAAGCACTTAGAAGCTGTGTAAGTAGTACAGAAAATATGATTCTCTGTAATTATTAGTTCCAGTCACCGCCACCAGGCTGACAGCCTCGTTCTAAATTCGGTCAGCACGAATAGAATGCTCTACGCATTGATATGCGCAAGTCCGGTTTATTTCCGGCTGTCGCTTACGGCCTGACATGCGCACATCAATATTTGTTACTTTATCGGGCACCTGCAGTTACCTCCCTTAGAAAACGGAAAGTGGATTTACGGTGATTAACTTTCCGAGGTTGTGTTATTCAGGTCATTCCCTTCTAGGGATGAACTATCATGGCGGAGGAGAAACAAGTTAATGCCATGTTTCGTAGGCATGAACAATTAAAGCGGTGGGAGGATTCTGAGACAAACAGAGAGCCAGGTTCACCTAAATTAAAACCTAGAAAAGTTCAATTTCAAGATGGATGTATATTTCTGGCAGCCTGTTCGAGTGGGGACCGAGAAGAAGTCACTAGACTTCTGGAGAGGGGGGCCGACATCAACACAGCGAATGTCGACGGTCTGACAGCCCTCCATCAGGTAAAAATAGACTGAAATCGTCTAAATTATGCTCTATACCCATGCCACAAACTGGTATCAGACTTATGGTTGTATAAACAGAATTGTATTGCTTAAAGATGGACACGATCACAACATGTTTTGCTAAAATTTGGTGAATACTCTCCAGTTGTTGACAGTCGACCGTTTCCGATTTTGGTTGTAAACTCTCCTACATTTTCTCGTATGTTTGTAACACAGATATCAGCAGCGAGCTGGGTCTTATTGTACGACCTCACATAAGATGTTTTACATGTTTTGCACCAGTTGAACACGAAAAGGTTTCGAAATTTCGTTATGAACAGAGTGTGATACCCCATGTCATGCCAGGAAATGACATACATTTAAACACAAACCTAGAGTTGCACTGATGAATTTGTTTACATAGTTGTGACAAGGATATGACACAATGTGTGATTATACAAGTTTGCATAAACAACAAGGACAAAATATATCAGGACAGATCACATTGGGATAGAAAATGTGGAATTCCAAGCAGTAAATTTGGAACGTGACATCATTTTTGTAAAGATTAGCTCTACAATGTCTACCATTTTAAACTTTGCATTAGCAAATGATTAGATATCAAACAGAATTGAAGATACAATTGTACGAAGAAAGATATGCACATATATATGTTTTGATTCAATTACAGTAACATATTAGCTATATTGAGTGCCCATTTCAGTAAGCTCCCTTAGCCAACTTTTCCACCAATCTTTGATTATATATATTATAAATGCCCCTTAGAAGTACCAAAACAACATTTTCTTGTATATGTTAAGGATTGTACACACTATAGATTTTTCATTGGATTATGAGCTAAGTTTGTTCACTACAGCTCTATTTCTGAAAATAATGTTAACTTGTTAAGGCCCCTCTTTCACTTTGTCAGTTTGCTTATAATGATGAATAGAGGTGTATCCATACATTTGTTAATAGATTAGCCATATAAATTTGATCAGTTTTTTTCATAATAGATGTAGCCCAAGTATGTTTGAATATATCCACCAGTTATATTGCTTACTGAAACGAGGTTGTATTGTCGAATCAGTTTTCCCCAGTTTGAAAATTAATATAAAATTAATGTGAAATATATGAACTCAAGATACTGTTATATGACATTTTTCTGCTTTGATACTGATGTACAACAGTTAAGAGACATAAAACTAGACTTTGTATCTTTGCATCCACAAACATGCTATGTTTCAACAATTTACCATATTCAAACAAAATACAACTTCACGAAGTGCATGTTCTTTTGCCTGATGTCTTCTTTTGAGAAAACAGTAGGGGTTGTAATGTCAGTATGTCAGCTTATTTTTAATTTGTTGCTTCCTTCATGGTGACATGGGCGGACCAACTTAGTTTCTGTTATTGTTGGAGTTCTAGCATTGTTGTATGGGTAAGAGCGGTGGGGTAGTCTAGTGGTTAAAGCGTTGGCTCGTCCGCGCCGAAGACCGGGTTCGAATCCCCACATGGGTACAATGAGTGAAGCCCATTTCTGGTGTCCCCGCCGTGATATTGCTGGAATATTGCTAAAATTAAAACCAAAACTCAGTCAGTCAGTATGGGTAAGATGACAGTATCTGGTTCAAAACTTTAATATTAGTTTAATTAATATGAAATCATATATATAGTGACAATAGTGTGAAGTTATAGTCAGCCTCACTGTCCATATTATTTGCTTTTCGCTCGCTATAGTGATACAACCCGTAATGAAGCAATTTACATATAATCCCATTTTCTCTATGCAGCTCTTTGTTTTGTTTGTTTCGTTTTAAGTTAAATGTTTCAGAGAGACTAAACGTTAATCTATATTAAACCATTGACAAAATATTTTAAAAAGGATCGAGTGGTCAGGCTTGGTTGACACATATCCTAGTTGCAAAGATTGATGCTCATGATGTTGAGCACTGGATTATTTACAGACTGCCACCATGTAGCTGGAATATTGCTGACTGCAATATATTAAACCACAAACAAACAATAAAACAAGTGTATTTACTTAATCTCTCATTGCCATTAGGTAAAGCAAGCAATGTTCTGTTGATGAAAAGTGTTATTATTATCATTGTTTGCTAGGCCTGGCCAAAAAAGGTTGCTAATCGGAAGTATCGCTGATGGAATGAATTATTAATGATTATTGATATGAAACATGTGTTATTGATAACATATTGCATAAACAGTTTGGAGGAAATGGTTTTCTAATTTACAGACACAGTTACGTCCTTATTCGTGGGTCACTTCTAAACTATGTTCTGAGTGCTGTTTTCGTCAGCAATCCATGCATAAATACATATGTCACCACTCACCAGTAACAAGAAATATATTGATATATTTCACTTTCAGACCTTTTATCTATTTTTGTTCAAAATTACTTTTCCTATGTTTATTGCTGATTAGACGACATTTAGTGGACAATTATTGATCTCTTAAATCTATATCTATAGCCAACCCTATTGTTTTATGTTTACCTATATTAAAATGTATCACTTTTGTGTAAAGCATAGCTACATGACAAAAAACAAGCAACAATGAAGAAACAGGCGTGGGTTGTTTCATGTGAAATCTTTGTTTTATCATGACAACAGTTTTTTTTTAGATTTGTTATATATATTCGCTACTTGATGACATCAGAAAGTGAACATTATGCTTGAGAAGGGAGTGAGTCGTTCCCCTTACATGTAGCTGGCCAACGCAGATAAATTCAGATATAGTAATGGGTTTTGGGGGGAAAAGGTCAATGGATATGATAATACAAAAAATATTTTGGAAATACCCAAACTCCTTCACCCCCTCCCCCCCTTCTCCCCTGCCATTGTTTCTTGTCTTATAACACATTGCAAGGAGAATGGAATACTCAGGACAGTGACCCTATCATTTCATACCTCGAACACCAGTGGATGTGGCCAGATGAGGTCACCTGGCAGTGGTACATTTGAAACATTTACTTTAATGGATTTATTACTTACTAAACAAATGAAAACTAACAACATGCACGCACACACACACACACACACACTTTTTACAAAGGTTGTGATTGGTTTGCATGTTCCTGTTCAAGTTTGTTTTCTTCAAAAGGAGATGACAGTTATTTTTAATAGGAGATTGTTCTTCTAATTAAATTGGTTCATTGCTTTTACTGAAGATGCCCCATAGGGATTGATTAAACTAGAAATCCATGCTGGTCCTAAGAGTGGATTGGGTGGTCAGAAGAATGACTTGGTTGCATATTTTTCTACCCTAACACTAGCATGGATTGTTGCTCATGGTATCAGTGAAGGGTTTTCTGATCTGGACACTATTTTTATGTCAAACTGAAATTCTACAAAATTAATATTTGGGGAATGATTCTGCCAGTTCAGCAAAATAGACATTGATAACACTAACAAGGTCAAGGTTAAATGTTTTTACCATCTCAAGTTTCAAATGAAGAAAAACTGAATTTTTGCAGTGTCAACAATTTTAGGTGATCATTATCACTAATGTTTATGGTTTAAGGTCACATTGACCTAATTTACGTCCATTACCTGTGAAAGATAAAAAGCTTTCATGTTTCTAAATTAAGTCTTATCAGACCAATGGAATGTGAATTCCTATGGTTTTTGTAATAACCTACTTTATCCAATGGCAATTAGCATCACATTGATCTGACCAATACACAGACAGGAAGTGATTAAGCATGCTGGGAAACCTTACTGTTGTAAGAACGCAGTGCATTGCTCTACAGGAACTGAACATGCTCAATAAGGCAGATTCCTTCACATGCCATATTTGAATGATGCCAGGTTGTTGAGTGGGGATAGTTTCATGTGGTGAGTGGATGCTGATTCTTGATCTAACCATGCAAACAGTGTGTCTACTGATGCAGGGGATGACTCAGAGCTGTGTTGTGATGAGATGACATGTTGCTGATCTCTACTGATGCTGATGGCCAGGGAGATGGGAAATGAGTCTGTGGTGTCATTGTCATTCAGGCATTCGTTAAAAATCCAATGCATTTTGATATTCCCAAATGGCTCGCTTTTCTAGCTCAAATCTGGTCATTGCACTTTCCAAATTACTCCACAATGTACTATCATCATCAGACTTACCATTGGGCAGGATAAAAATATTCCATGCATTTGGATTGGTCAAATCAATGATTGACAGTTTCGAATTTAAATCAATTTCCCCTAAGAAAATCAGATTTTATATATATTGCCAGCTTAAGTCCATATCTTAAATGGGGATTTGGGCCAGTGGGGTAGCCTAGTGATCAAAGTGTTCACTCATCACGGCGAAGACCCGGGTTCGATTCCCCACATGGGTACAATGTTCGAGGCTCATTTCTGGTATCCCCCAATGTGATTTTTGCTGGAGTAGTGCTAAAAGCAGCATAAAACCATATTCACTCACTAAAACCAGCTGTATCTAGTGTAACTTGTATTATGGATGAATTGCCGTGAATCCGTGGTACGGAGGCGTGATGTGAGGTGAAATTGGGTTTAACGTCGTGCTTGAGAATATTTCGCTCATATGACGACGTGCATGCGTGTGTATGTGTATGTGCGGCTGCTTGTACTAGCCCAGACTTAAGCTGGTTTTACAGTGCTAGCCCACTGAGATACCATGCCGCAGTGAAGCATGAATACCCCACTCAGACACATTATACTGACTCCGAGCCGACCAGTCCCTGTTGTACCCATTAATGCCGAGCGTCAGGCAGGGACCAACAAGTACCATATTTTACCGTCTTTTGGTATGATGCGGTCGGGGATCGAACCCGCGACCTTCCGCTCTCCGGGCGGACGCTCTAACCACTACACAGCGAGGCGGTCTGGTACGGAGGGAGACTGCTCAAACTGTATTATCAATTAGACTTTATTCATGTGAACTCGATAACCCAACTGCAGTTATGGCCACAATGCAGCAGTAGTAGCTGCTGCTGCAGCGCTGTTGGACGTGGTTTACGACCGTATGTCATCTAGCTTTAATAT